TCAAACTGGGGGGGGAACCCATAGGCTCTCAAGGCTTGTTGCAGGAAGGGCCAGCTTAGGCGGTCAAAAGCTTTTTCGGCGTCAAGTGCTAGTAATAGACCGCCTCCTCTGGTCCCCCTGAGGTAATCCAGGATCAGCGACAGTTTCCTGGTATTATCTGTTCCCTGTCTTCCTTGTATGAACCCTGTCTGGTCATCCCCAATAAGGGATGGCAGGACCCTATTTAGTCTATTTGTTAGGATCTTCGCATAGATCTTTGCATCTGAGTTTAGAAGCGATATAGGGCGGTAATTTTTACAGGTGTCCGGGGGTTTGTCGGGTTTCGGGATGGTTACTATGGTAGCCCGGAGCATCTCTGGTGGGAGCGCGCCCGTGGCAGTCGCCCTACGGTACACTTTTAGCAGGTGGGGGCCCAGGACGTGCGCAAATTTTTTGTAGTAGGCATTTGGGAGCCCATCTGCTCCTGGTGACTTCCCTTGTGGCAATTTGGCGATCGTTTCAAGCACCTCTGTGAGCTCAATGGGCCTGATTAGTGCTTCTGCCTGTGCGCTCGTTAGTTGGGGGAGTTTGGCTTGGGATAAAAATTGGGTTATGTCGTCTAAGCTAGCATTGTGAGTGCTGCCCTCCTCCTTTAGGTTGTAAAGTTTAGAGTAGAAATGAGCGAATTCCTGGCTAATATCCATGGGGGTAACCTTCTTTAGTCCGTCGCCTCCCACCACGTGGGCTATCTTGGAGCTAGAGCATTAATTTTGAAGCCTGGCGGCTAAGTATTTAGTGGCTTTCCCACTATTGTGGTATACATTGGCTCTCAGTTTGTGGAGCATGCGCTTGTTTTTTTCTGTATTCAGCTCTTGCATTCGTGCGTAAAGCACTCTGAGCTGTTTCGCTAGGTCAGGGGTGGGCTTAGATTTATTCTGCCTAGAGATTATAGCTATTTGCCTAAGGCAATCAAGGAGGCCGGACGTATTCTGCTTCTTTAGGAAGGCGGCTTGTCTCAAGAAAAGCCCCCGTACTACTGCTTTATGCGCCGACCAAACCGTGTAGTCTGAGACCTCACCTGTCGCGTTTAGCGCAAAGTATGCTTGGAGTTCTTCTCTTATGTGTTCCGCAAAGGGTGCATTGGACAACAGCGAATCGTTTAGACGCCAGGACCCCCGGCCCCGAAATTGGAAAGTGTCTAGTAAGTTTAGATAGACGGGACCGTGGTCTGACCAGGATATTTCCCCTATGGTGCACTGCGTGAGTTGCGGCAGTAGTGTCCTGTGTAGGAGAAAGGTGTCTATGCGCGTGTATGTATTGTGGACTCTGGAGTGAAAAGTGTAATCCCTGTCTGTCGGGCGCATGGTCCTCCAGGCGTCGTATAAGTCGTATTGGTCAAGGAGTTTGGAGAGTGCTTTACATGATGTGTCCAGTCTCCGTTTGTTTGCGCCCGTGGGGGTTGCAGTAGTGTCTAGCCCTAGCGATTGTATGCAGTTAAAGTCTCCGCAGAGTATCAGGTCCCCTAACCTATAATCTTCGATTTTGCGCAGGAGGGAAGACAGAAAGTGGCGTGGTCGGTCGTTGGGCAGGTACGCTGCCACCAGCGTCAGTTGTGTATCGTTGAAACGACCCACCAGTATAACATATCTCCCCTCTGGGTCTATGTACTGTCGCTGTGGAGTGTAGGCTAAATCTTTGTGGATAAAGATCGATACTCCCTTGGATTTTGTGGCAGAGAGAGAGTGCACTTGCATGGGGAATTGTCTAGTAAAGATAGCTGGGGGGTGGGTACGTTTGAAATGGGTCTCTTGAATGCAAGCTACGTCTATACCATTGGTTGTAAGGTCTTTAAGAAGGAGTCTGCGCTTGCCTGGGGAGTTCAAGCCATTCACATTATATGAGACTAGTTTCATACTTAATTATTTTGTGGGCAGGTACACTAGTGGTAGTAATTCCTATGCTTGCTACTAAAGCAGTGCTGGGCACAGTACGGTCGAATAGGCGTATTGGTGGAGGCTGCAATGTATAGTTTTCCTGGAGGGTGGGTTTCGAGGGGGACCCGTTGGTGGCCCTGAGTATGTCTGGGTGGGAGGGGATAAACAGGGGGATAACTAGGGGGGGGAGACAAACACGTGGGCAACCAGCCCTATCTTGCTTCCAGCTAGGAAGCCAAAATGCCCCGAGGAGAGCTCGGGCGCATGTGGTTGGGGTCGTGGGGGTGAGCGTCCTCTTTGAGGTGGTGGCTCACTGTGGTGGCGGCAAGGAGCGTTGCCATGCTAAGGATGAAGGGTGAGTAGTAGGCATGAGGGGTTGTGCCTCCTTTAAAGCTTCGGGCAATGTGGGGGAGGAGGGTGAGCTCACAGTACTCCCCGAGTCTCATCTGCACCGGCAGGAGGTTCAATACATGGAACACATGAAAGGGTGCTACCCATGAACTGTGGGGGGGGGGAGTGAGCGTCAGCACCCCCATGAAATCATAACCAAACATCTGAACAACATTCAAACCAAAATATGCATTATAATACACTGAGGGGAGGCGGGTGACCACTTAAGAGGTCAAAGATTTTACCGCAGTCCTTGGAGATGGCATTCCCCTCGTGTATCAGTTCACAGTCCACTCCGGGGAAAGTCTTGGGACCTTGGAAGGGAGATGTCGGTGTACCTCAGGCATTTGGAGGCCCCAGGATTGTAGCTTGGCGATTCCTAGTTCCAGTGTCGGAATGGCGTGTAGGGCATCTCTGTAGTGAATCAGGAGCATGGCGGGGTAACCCCATCGGTAAGCGATGTTGTGGTCTCTCAGTGTGGTTGTCACTGGGGTTAGGTTCTTCCTGAATTGTAGCGTCGCTGCAGATAAGTCTGCAAAGAGTTTGATTCGGCTGTAGGGGTCTGGCAAGCCTGAGGCCCTGCTGGCTTTCATCAGCTGCTCTTTGGTATGGTAGAAGTGCACTCTGGCAATGACATCTCTCTCTGTGGTTGGAGGGAGGTGCTTTGGGCGTCTTAGCCTGTGTGCCCGATCCACTATAAGCTGATCCGGGTGTATTGTGGGAGTGAGGGCTTGGAACAGATTCGTCAGGTAGTTTTCTAATTCTTTTGGGGCAACTGTCTCTGGAATACCCCTTATACGTATATTGTTTCTCCTGGATCTGTCTTCTAGGTCTGCTAGTTTAAGTTGGTAGCTAGTGAGGGAGTTCTCAAAGCCCTGCACCCTGTCAGCTAGGCTATTATGGGCCTCTGCAAATTCATCCATCTTATGTTCTAAGTGGGAGGTGCGCTGGCCTACCTCAGTGATATCCTTGTGGAGGTCTGCTGCCAAGGTTTGCAATTGGGTTTTCATGCTATTCTGCAGCTTGTCTGAGAGCTCTGCCAACATAAGCCGCATGGTGCCGACCGTGAGGGATCCGTCGTCAGCCGCTGAGGATGGTGAGGCTGGCGGTGACACTGAGCCGTCTCGTGAGTCTCGCGCGGCGCCATCTTTGATCAGGCCGCGTCCGTCCCGCGCTTTTGTTTCGGCGGTTCTCGCCAGAAAGAAGGACTCCCGGTCCGATTTGGCGGCCTTGCCCTTCTGCCTCTGTGACATGGTGGAGCGAGGAGTGAGGTTTAGTGCTCGTTAGTTCGTTTATTTTGCTCCAAAGTGCCGAAACCCGCGGGAGCTTCAGAAGTGTGCATCCATTCAGCTCCGGTACCTGGCCACGCCCCCGATATATACACTTTTAATTGTATAAGCCTCTTGCCATATAGGAAACAGTTCCTTATACTGTTCTCCTATATACACTTTTTATTATAGTGTTCATCTTGAAATTTTAAGTAGAGCAATTTGGTGTGTAACAACTTGATTCTGCTTCTAGCAGATTTAAAGATATACACCCCATATATATTAGCTGTGTATCTTTCAACATAGAAAAGCCTTTCTAAGTGAATTGACTCCTGGATCTTACTGCACCTAATTTTAGGAGCATACCAAGTTATTTTCATTGCAATAGTAGGTTTACTATGTATAATGCTTCTTTTTAAAGTGAGAATGGTTTTTAAATTATCATACATAAGCTATACAATTAGAAATTGTATATACATTGTTCATAAAATGTACAGGTGATACTCGAAAAATTAGAATATCGTGCAAAAGTTAATTTAGGGAAACCAATATATGAGATAGACGCATTACATGCAAAGCAAGATAGTTCAAGCCGTGATTTGTCATTAGTGCGATGATTATGGCTTACAGCTCATGAAAACCCCAAATCCACAATCTCAGTAAATTAGAATATTGTGAAAAGGTGCAATATTCTAGGCTCACAGTGTCCCACTCTAATCAGCTAAGTAAGCCATAACATCTGCAAAGGGTTTCTGAGCCTTTACATGGTCTCTCAGTCTAGTTCAGTAGGAATCACAACCATGAGGAAGATTGCTGACCTGACAGTTGTGCAGAAAACCATCAGTGACACCCTCCATAAGGAGGGAAAGCCTCAAATCGTAATTGCGAAGGAAGTTGGATGTTCCCAAAGTGCTGTATCAAAGCACATTAATAGAAAGTTATGTGGAAGGGAAAAGGGTGGAAGAAAAAGGTGCACAAGCAGCAGGGATGACCGCAGCCTGGAGAGGATTGTTAGGAAAAGGTCATTCAAATGTGTTGCAGACTTTCACAAAGAGTGGACTGAGGCTGGGGTCAGTGCATCAAGAGCCACCACACACAGACGGATCCTGGACATGGGCTTCAGATGTCGTATTCCTCTTGTCAAACCACTCCTGAACAACAAACAACGTCAGAAGCGTCTTACCTGGGCTAAAGAAAAACAGACCTGGTCTGTTGCTCAGTGGTCCAAAGTCCTCTTTTCTGATGAGAGCAACTTTTGCATCTCATTTGGAAATCAAGGACCCAGAGTCTGGAAACCTTGACCTTGATTTAACATTTTTAGATACATTTTTCAAATGATTTAATATTTTTGGATAACATTTTAAAATGATTTATTGGAGCACTGTAAATGAGAAGAATATGAGAATGGAGAGGCACACACTGCAAGGAGCTTGAAGTCCAGTGTGAAGTTTCCACAGTCTGTGTTGATTTGGGGAGCCATGTCATCTGCTGGTGTTGGTCCACTGTGCTTCATTAAGTCCAGGGTCAACGCAGCCGTCTACCAGGAGATTTTGGAGCACTTCATGCTTCCTTCCACAGATGAGCTTTATGGGGATGCTGACTTCATTTTCCAGCAGGACTTGGCACCTGCCCACACTGCCAAAAGCACCACAGCCTGGTTCAATGACCATGCAATTACTGTGCTTGATTGGCCAGCAAACTCGCCTGACCTGAATCCCATAGAGGCATTGCCAAGAGAAAGATGAGAAACATGAGACCGAACAATGCAGAAGAACTGAAGGCCGCTATTGAAGCATCCTGGTCTTCCATAACACCTCATCAGTGCCACAGGCTGATAGCTTCCATGCCACGCCGCATTGAGGCAGTAATTGCTGCAAAAGGGGCCCAGATATTCAAATTTTCCGAGTATCACCTGTATAAACAATTCCTGAAAAATAAGGTAAAGTAAATATATCTAAACAAACTTTACCCCTTTAAGGACTCATAACAGAAATATTCCGTCGTGATTCCCTTTTATTTATGAAGTCGTGTCCTTAAAGGGTTATAGAAATGTAGGTAATAGATTATGTTATACAGGTAGGTGGAATTGTGTTAAAAAAAAAGTTTGCTAAAGTAATCTAATATTTATGTATTTGTAGCATGTATATTTACTATTTATAACGTTAAAGTAAGTCTGTAATTTTTTTTAATTTGGATGAGATAATGAGTATTATTTCATGCATTGATCGTATTTGTTTTTGTTGCAGTATAAGACATAAAGGGAAGTACAGTGTGGATAATGTGGATGTTTATGTTTTGGTAGTAAGTTGTTAATTAGTATAATATATCTTGTCAGTCAGGGTTTTAATTATTATAATGAAATGTAATAACATTTGACATAACTAATAGATAAATGTATATAGTAAATAAAAGTAGTGATAAAATAAAGTGTTATCTGAAGGCTTTTTGAAATAATTCCTGTCCCTTTCATATTCTTTTCGTTTACAGTGCTCCACTCGTATTCCCTTCATTCTGCTTTTTTCCTTCAGCCCTCTTTTAAGGATAACTTCATGGTTAGGGTAGAACTGTAAGTGAGTGATTTCTTCCATCTTCCAAACTTTACTAGTTTAAGGAGTTGATAAATATAATATTAGGAAGAGGAAGCAGGAAGGGGAAAAAAAAGGTCTCGACCTTTCTTCGCAATTTATGTTATCCATGGAGTGCCATAGATTTGCGTGTTTCATGTGTAATCAATTATAAATTTTTTATATATGATATATATTTTTTAATTTTAATATTTTGAACAAAAAATCATTATAAAAATATATAATTGATTACACATGAAACACGCAAATATTAAAAATTTGAAAAGTTTATGCAACAATATTAAATCAAGGCCTATACGGTCTCAATTTAACAAGCTTTCCAAATGACACGAAAGAAAAACATTTCAAATACCTTATCTAGAAATAATCCCGTGGACGTTAACGGTGACGTCTGTAGGTGCAAATCATTTGAAACATTTTTCTAACTAATTGAATTAATTGGAAATATTATTAAATCAAAGCCTATTTTCTCAAAGGCAGAAATCATTTTGACAAAGTTTGAACAATCGTTAAAACTGAGAAATCTGAGTTTACTGAAAAGGAACTCGATTGTGGTTTCTTGTGGTTTGGTTTATTGCATTTACTTCCCAACTGTTTGACGAAACCATTGACTCTGAAGGACGAGTAAATATGAGAATCTGACACGTTTCATTTCAATCTTTTTTTTCTGCTGTCCACAAAAACAAAATAACAGTACAGTCATTATTGCACACTTTTTTGCCGTTATCAGATATTATTTAGTAAACAGTAATGTCACATATTTACTTGTAGGTAATTTAATGTGGGAGGAAATCTTGTACTGGGATATTTAAAGGATATTGCTCCATTTTTTATTGTACTTCCTTTATTCAGATACTTTCAATCAACAAGCAACAAAGGCTCGTAAGTAAGTAATGCCTCTGTGTATTTATTTTAAATTTAACCTTAAATTAGAAACTTGACAAATTATTAATGTGACATATTCTGAGTGTTGTATATTCCACAGTATCTGTGCTATTTGTTAAAAATGAAGTCAATATTCGTGGAGATGTAACCTCCTGGCAGTTTCCATAGCTAACTTGTTTCTATATACATTGTGCTAGTCAGATTGTGAAACATTTATACAGAGGTTTTTATTTTTAAAGAGGAACAATGTCTAAAACTGATCCTGAATACACGACTTACAATGTTCCATGATCCTAAGCTTGTCTAAATTCTGTATAAAAATGAATAATGAACATTATATCACAATGATTTGCAGTGCCATAGTCATGTATCTCTGTAATAGAAGTGCTAAAAGCAAGTATGTAATGAAAAGTTAGTTGGCATTAATGGTATCAGACTATTTAACATATTTAGTTGTAAGCAGGGGCAAACTGACCCTTCATCACTCAGACAGAGTTAAGAATTGGGGCTCCTCCGAACAGGTCAGTTACCATGGTTGTTTTCTATTGATGGCTGTTGCACAAGGTGGAGTCCATTTTAATCCTCGAAAGTGCCCAGCCCAGCATTGCACCCGTGAGTTCTGGTCAGGGTTGGCCTTAGGGGTATGCTAGCTGTGTGGCCGCACAAAGGGCTATGTCAGCAAGGACGCCAGCAGGCCGACACATCTCGCAACGGGTCGGCACCAGTATCTGATACTGTTGCCCCTAATAAAAAGTGAATTCATTTTTTACTCAATATTTTGCCGGATATTAAATAAAAAAAAGACTCCCTGGTGGTCAGGTGATATATTGCACGGTTTGCAGCCCTGGCTGATACACTTCATAAAATCCTTTCCCTTGCGGTTCAGGTGCTCATTGATGAGTCAGAGCACGGACTTTGAATCTCCTTGGCTGCGCTCTGACTCATCAATGAGTGCCAGAACCACGAGGGAGAGGATTTTATGAAGTGTATCAGCAGGGACTGCAGACCGTGCGATATACCACCGGACCACCAGGGAGACCACATGAGACACACAGCCAGTACCGGACCACCAGGATATTAATAGAGAAAGGCAGACAGTGCCACAGGCATGCTCCTTTCCAAATGTGCACCGTAAGAGGGTGAGCTACACTCAGAGAGAAGGTGAGTAATTCTGTATAGTTTAATAAAACTGATTACAAATTTGAGTAAAACTACTGTTTTCTACACTAAATTAATTGTGTACCAGTATATGCACTCTTTCCTGTATATTACATATTCTGGGAGCACATACCAGAAAGACCATAGGATGAGAGTAAAGCAGAGCAGTACCTCTCTTTCTATGTAAGTTTAAAACTGTAAAACTGAGAAAAGCTTGTCATTTTTTCCCTCTAGTTTCTGACCACGATGTTGTTAGAACCAGTAGAACACACTATAACCAGATCCATCACTCAATCTCTACAACAGTGAGGCTGCTAAGAGATGAAGTTTGACAAAAGCAATGTCACTAGTTTACCTTTAGCAGAGAGGGATAAATATGTGTAAGTCTCAGAAAAGTGGGTGTTATTTTATAAACTTCTCAAAGATCAGTAGAAAAAGAGGGCCAGGTCCAAAATGAGATCTTGACCTATCTATATACTCAAATAAGGAAGGAGGTTCTCCATCAACCTAAATATGAAAACCCTTGTGTCCAGCACTGGACTTGGTGGTTCTGTTGCAGGGTCCAGCGCTGAGCCTAGAATTCTAAATTACCCAGGCCCGGCATGGGGCCATTAGAGTTAGGAAACAAGGTGGGATGGATTAGATTTCTGTCTTTCCTTATCTCTTAGTATATAATCAAGCTGCCTGCTTTATTGGATTCCTGGTATTCAGCCTATGTTCTCCGGTATTATCATAGTTGTAAAGCATCTGCTTGAAGGAACACTCCATGGGATGTTTCTTTTTCCAATTTAGTAGATACCCTCTGAAAAAAAGAAGCATTTCTTATTTTCTGCATGGCTTGTTTGGACCCACATGAAACAGCCTGCAAAAACTGCATAACATATCTGCAGCTTTGCAAGCCGTTTCCTATTTCTCTGACAGACTTTCAGTATGTCCTGGGAATTGTACCCATCAAAGGCTTCTCATTGAGAAGCCTCTGTGTTGGAGCTGTACAGACCTGGCTTGCCTATGCAGGGGGTGACTTCAGCAAAACTTTATAAAAGTGCTGATTTATGAAATATATGCCAAATATGACAGTCTCCAGACACATTAGGAACTTGAAGTGATTAATTTGATTAGCAAGCTGAAGTGATTTATGTGTACTTAGTGTTTCTTTAAGAAACCTCTATTGCTAATATTTACTGTAATTTAATTTTGCTGGGTCCTTTTGAACTTTTAAAAGATGATTACTTTGCAATTTTTTGTTTTTTTTATAGTGTAGGTTTTTAAAATAGAAAATTTGAAAATACAAATCATCGTATGCATGAGTGTCTATGGCTGCTGTCAATTGTATACAGTACATCCCCCACAAATATCACACACACACACACACACACACACACACACACACACCACACACACACACACACACACACCACATTATGGTGAGATGTGTTACTATGGAGCTCTGTAATACAAAATGCACATTCCCAGAAAACACTTAACCACCAGGGAATCGCATGCACCACTTCTCTGCAAGGTAACACCGGGGAAGGGGGGCAATGAATGTTTTCATTTGTTTTTGTTTTTTAAATGTATTAAATGAAAACGCCCCTATACACTCACATGATATTCCATGTAAACACAGTGCACACTCTGTACACTCAGGCACTAGAGACCCAATACACACTCTACCCACATACACACAGTACACTCACTATAAACATACACTATACCCCTATACACATATACTACACCCCTATAAACATACACACTCCTAATAACAACAAACAATACACATATACATACACTGCAGCCCCTGCACCTCCCATACACACAGACAGTAAATTCCCTACTGACACACACTGTTTTTTCAGCAAGCTTTCTCACCGCTTAGTTTTGTGGTTAATAAGAGTGGGAGGTTTTAAATAATGAAGGTATTAGATGAGAGGATGTGGTCAGTGAGGAGAGCTGTGAAGATTTTTTGCAGAGAGCACCTAAATCCCAAGAATGGCCCTGGTTCTGGTGTTTAGAGTATTGCCGTTTGTTACCACAGCAATGCTATGAACTATGGAACTCTCTCGATACACTAGAGACTAGACCACCATGAAAGCCTTCACTGCAGTATATTCTTACTGTAAGTGAAAAAGGGGCTTGTGGACAAGAAGCTGTCCTTAAAGAATTAAACAGTGATCTGAAAGCTCTCTGATTCAGACCCTCACTTAATTTGTTCATGTGTCATAGAGAGGAATTGTGAAAAGTGAAAAAATATTTTTGCTTGAAGGACCACTATAGGCACCCAGACCACTTTAGCTCAATTAAGTGGTCTGGGTGCCAGGTCCATCTAGGGTTAACCCTGTAGCTGAAAACATAGCAGCTTCATATAAACTGCTATGTTTACTTTAGGGTTAATCCAGTCTCTAGTGGCTGTCTCGTTGACAGCTGCTAGAGGCGCTTCCGCGATTCTCACTGTGAAAATCACAGTGAGAAGACGCTGACGTCCATAGGAAAGAATTAAGAAATGATTTCCTATGTACTGTTTGAATGCGCCGGTGGCTCTCGCATTTGGCGCTGACGTCGGCAGAGGGAGGAGAGTTTCCTAGCACCAAAGGTAAGTGTTTGAACCCCTTCAGCCCCCTCAACTTAGCGGGAGTGGGTCCCTGAGGGTGAGGGGGACCTAAAGACCCGATAGTGCCAGGAAAACAAGTTGTTTTTTTTTTATATATAGTGGTCCTTTAAGATATCTGTGTGGTCAGCCTTGCTAAATTCTATCTTTTAAGACGTTATAGCGGTAAATAGGGGTACTGTCAGTTACAATGTGAAAGTGACAGTTTCCAAATTCGGGACTGTAAAATCATTAAAAAAAAACCTGACAAATTGATACATTGCTGAAACTATTTTTAGTTTAATACTACACAATTCAATAAAATGTATAGCATAAACAATTCCTTACAAATGTCCTTTAACCCCTCCTTTAAAAAAGATTAATATTCCACATATAAATATATTTTTATTGTAGGTTACAGAAAAGTAGAAACCCACAGAAAATTGGTGGCTCTGTTAACATTATGACACAATGAAGATTTTCCTCCTGATCATTCTTCAAGGTATAATACATTTTTATCATGTAACTGTTACATATATTATAACTTCTTTACTATAAATACATTATTTCCAGGTGTCCTGGCTATTTTCATCGTTTTGTTATTGTTTCACATGAAATGCAGAGTTGTGGAAATAAAACAAGAGATATAGTTGATTAGTCGCATAGTTTTACAAACAAGGGCTATCAGACCAAATCAATATTAACTTAATAACAAATGTTAAACCTATGGGCAGAAAGGTATATTGTCAGATTTTGCATAAAAAAGTCACTTTGACCAACATATATATTACAGAGGCTTCCTTGATTGAATGTCAGAACGGTAATTGAGGCAGCAGTTAGCCAGAGCACCTGCCTTGTTGGGACTTCTCATTAGGAAGTCAGTGATTGGACAGACACAGAACGTCTGGGTGGGGTTAGAAGGGGAGGACTTGCAAAGGCAGCAGTTGATAAATTTGTAGCTTTAACAAGATGTTTTTATATATATATCCCCAATGAAAATTTGCATAATGAAATGCATGCATAATTGCTGGTATACCTACTAAATGGGAATTTTCTTTTTAAATTTAAAAAGTAGAGTGTCTATTTAATGATTTGTTTTAGCTATAACCCAGTAGATCTTCTATTAGGGCAGAGGTTCCCAACCGAGTCCTCAAGTACCCCCTAGCAGTCCAGGATTTAGGGGTCACCCAGTGGTACCTAAAGTGTTTTTTTTTTCTTTTAAAAATGCCTTAGACATAACTGGGTAATCCCTAAATCCTGGACTCTTAGGAGGTACTTGAGGACTGGTTTGGGAGCCACTGTATTAGGGTATCTGCCTGGGAGGTTCCACTCCTACACTAGATATAGCCCAAAGAAAAACAGAGTTTTCTATAATAATTTTTTTTAAATACCTTTATCTTAAAATTTTGCTTGTTACACTTAAAAAAGTGCATGCTTTTGGTACTCAATATTTGTATGTTCCATTGGAATTTTATTTACATTATTGTTTTAGGATTTTTGGTAGGTTATGGGGTGCATTTATATCTGCCTTTTTTTCGATTGGCTGTTTGTCATAATCTTTATTTTCTTTTTAAGCTTTAGATTCCTCTGGCCAACAATGGCTTTTTTCTTTCCCTTCGCGGATGGTAGCGCTGATTGGTTCTTGTGTTGAGATTCCCTGCCGGTTTGTTAAACCCAGTAATTATACATCTTATAATATTGTATGGTATCGGTATGAGAGAATTAACGATACAGTGATTTTTAAAACCAACGGAATCTCAGAAACAATTGCATCTTACAGAGGACGCACATCATTGGTGAAAAATGATAAGAACAAGTGCTCCCTCAGGATAAATAGTGTGACATGGGACGATTCAGCTCGGTTTTACCCAGGAATAGATAAAAAAATTAATGCATATAAAATTCAAAACAAGTTTATAAAACTTCAAACCACAGGTATAATAAATGTCTTCTCATTAGTACATTTTGTTAAATATAGAAATATAGAGTATTATGTATAGAAGTGTGATCATAGCTTATCAGCACAGAATTACCAATATTCCTCCAGTGATTGCTGCTTTGAAGAGTGACCTCATTATTAGGAACCCATGGGGTATAAGTTATCCAATCAGTTATTCACTAAAATGAGAATTGTTCAGATTCCTAATTTAAGGCCAAAGTAGCTGAACTTGAAGCGTTGCGGCCTAGGAGAATGTTTCCAGTTCAACTATTTTTGCTTTAAATTTGAAATTCTCTTTGAATTCCAAACAATTTTCACTTTGGTTTATAACTCTGAAAGTGTTTTTTTTTTTAACTTGTAAAAAATGTAAAATGGATGTTTCCTGCTGGTGTAACTGGTTTATATGTTGATTTTACTATTTTTATTTCTTCTGACCACTTTGATAAATCTCCCCAATAGACCAAAATAGCACATGCTTGCAGAAATGTTTTTTTTTTTTCTGTGAAACATATCAAAACATACAAGCTCAGGGTGCCCCAGCAGCAATCCTCATGCATATTATCATGCATAACAGTTAGAGAAATTGATAAAACATGCACATTTTTTTATATAACAACAACATTGTCAAGCTATGCTTCCATGGCTAGTCGTAAAGAAGAGATTACACTAAGGCAGGGATAGGCAACCTACGGCACTCCAGATGTTGTGGACTACATCACCCATAATGCTCTTACACCCATAATGCTGACAAAGCATCATGGGAGGTGTAGTCCAAAACATCTGGGGTGCTGAAGGTTGCTTATGCCTGCACTAAGGTACCAGCAAAATAACTACTAATGAGAAATCAAAGTAGAGTGTACTGGGGAAGCTATGGCAATGCGTAGTAAGCAATAATAATAGTGTTATAAGAATAATAAGAGTGCTGAGAGTCATTGGATCAATCATGTCTAAGCAATGAAAAGGAGAAAAAGTAGTGAAACTCAGAAAGACACGAGAGATCCAGAAATAAAAATTGTGTGAGGCCACAGGATCACAATGCTGTGTAGTGGCACCACACTTTAGTATAAAGATACCCAGCATGTGAGTAAGGTCTCAGTTGGGCAGTAGACATAAAGAAAAAGATAACTAAACATAAAAGCCAACATTAAAACAATTGAGTAAGCAAATCAGGTCATCTCAAATATCAGGTTTGTCACGTTACACGGTATCCGCTGTCATCAATGTAAACTCACTCTGCGGGCACGGTACCAGGGCTTTTTGAATCCTGCCAGTGGCAGAAGTAGAGCATGTATAAGGAAGTTCATATAATGAGCCATGCAGTGGTTCAGAGGTGAGGCACTCCCTATGCACCAGGCCTGTTCTAGATTCTGCAACAGGATCTGTTCTAGATCCTGGTTCACTTATCTGCTCCCCACAAGCCTTTGATCTGAGCACAGTCCAGCCTAACCGCCCCACATATGTTTTGTTGGGCAACATATAGGACTTGATTCTGGAGTCTGCAACCTGGCATCCACAAATCACTATCTGTGGGCGTGAGCGGAATACATGAGGGTATCTCTTGCTGGTCCACAGCCCAGGTATGTAGCGCTTCAAAAGTACCTTCGGCTCTGCTGCTGTTCTTGAGGCATTCGCCTCCGCGTTCTCACCGTCCACTGCATTGGAGTCTCAACCAGCATGGCTCATCTGAATGTTGCTTTGTTGCGGGTAAGTGTGGTGCGGTGCCGCAGCCACCGGCCACTGTGTTCTGTGGTGGGCTTCGACAGGGGGGCAGGGGGTGGGAGCGGAATGCTCTGCACACCTCGTCGAATCTATCTTCAAAGCAATGCATCTAGTCTAGGCTTTCCAGCCTTGCTTGTTGCAGTAAGGGTATTGGTATGGCGGCCATCTTGGACTTGCCACGTGTTCCTAGGCACCGTATATTTAAGGCTATTCAAGTCGTCAGTGTGTCCAGTAGGAACCGGGATAACCCCCGCCGGTCCAGGAAGAGGGGAGGGGAACAGGGCTTCTGTGGCTGCTCTTTGGAATGCTTGGTCCTAAGCGGGAGATCTGCTGCCTCCCCCAGCTGTCGGGTTTCCAATCTCAGCAGGCCGCAGGACCAGATGGCAGAATATTGTGGCAATAGTATACATTTTGGGAATCTTGGTGCCCCTGTAGATGGAGGTGTCTGTTAGTTTGTTTTGGGGCTTCTGCCGCAATTTTTATTGATTTTAGTAGCTTTATAGCTTGTAGCTTGCAGGAGCTCCCAGAGAACACGTCTGGCACATTTGCAAGTCAGGCCCTCCCCTCATTAGAAAATGTTTTTAGTGAACATGTTACCCGGTATATTAATTCTAGCTCTTATTCTTGATGCTGACTTAAGGTTGCACTTCCATATTCTACTCAAGACATTTGCATGCAGTCTTTTACAAGAGCAGTACTTGAAAGTTTACATATGAACCACCCAGTTCTAGGAAGTAAAAGAAGGGGGTAGATGATAGCTGTGTTATTTTCTGTAAGGTTATTTAATATTTGTACACGTTTCTAAGAAAAAGTTGCTTGACCATGCCACTTTTTGTAACATGAGTCAGAAAAATTAGTTGTCATCGTGAATGGGGCGTAGGGGAGCAAAAGCACTAAGTGGGGGTATGGCTGTGGTTGGGGGGTAAAACAAAACAATGACTCAAGGTTAATACAACACATGTAACATTTGTAAACAAAGGTTTATATTATGCTCCAAATGTATTAAAAAATATGTTGTTATAATAAGATTTAGAAAAAAAACATTACGGTTAGATATAGGATGGTGTTTGGGAAGGGCTTAAGGACCATCAGTTTGAGCACCATAATTATGTAATTGAAATTAAGTGACCGGGACCTCCTGGCACCATAATAACTTAATTTCAGCTTAAGGTCCTGCTATTTGGCCACCTAACAATGCCTTTTGTGGTGGAATGGTGTAAAAGAGTGGTGGAAGAGTTAGCATGGGGACTTTCATAAGACGTATTAATGAGTCAGTCAGTAATTAAAAGTGAAGGATATACCTGGATGCAAGAATAAGGCAGTTTAGTTCTCATAAAATATCATATTGATTGATAATGCAGTCAAAAGAAAACTAGCCACAATTTGTGTAACATATTATAATAAATATTATTGTATGATGATTGTATGATCAGTCTCTATGTGTATTATATTCTGGTTCATACACTGATCTGTCACGCCATTAAAAACCACTAACCTAATATCATGTAGGTTATACTAATGCTGCCAAAACAGTTCTGATGCATTGAGGCATGACCTCTGACAGTGTCTGTGGTATATGGCACCAAGACATTAGCAGCAGATCCTTTAAGTCCTGCAAGTTGCTAGATGGGGCATTCATGGATTAGATGTGTTATTTCAGCACATCCCACAGATGCTCAATTGAATTGAGATTTGGGAAATTTGTAGGCCAGGGCACCACATTTAATTATTTTCAAGTTCATCAAACCATTCCTGAACAATTTATGCTGACAGAGTCCGCTGCCATCACGGAACAACATTGCCATAAAAAGATGAATGTGGTCTGTAGCAATCTCTAGGTAGGTGGTACATGTCAAAGTAAGATCCATATGAATGCCAGGACCCAAAATTTCCAAGCAGAACATTGCCCAGAGCATAACACCACCGTGCCATCCTGCATTATTACCATAGAGCATCCTGTCATCTCTTCCCCAGGTAAACACACATCTACAGATCATCGACCTGATCAAAAAGAAAATGTGATTCAACATACCAGACAACATTCCTTAATTACTCAATGGTCCAGTTCTGATGCACACATCCCCATTGAAGGGACTTTTAGTGGTGGACAGGGATCTTCATGGGCAATCTGACCAGTCTATGACTACGCAGCCCCATACACAGCAAATTGTGTATTCTGACACCTTTCTGTCGTCAGCATGCCAGCATTATGTTTTTCAGCAATTTGAGCTACAGTAGCTCTTTTGTGTGATTGGATGAGATGGGCTAGCCTTCATTTCACAAATCAGTCAATGAGCCTTGTGTGCCAATTACCCTTATGCCAGTTCACCGGCTGCACCGCTTTTGGAAAGTAATAACCACAGCATACCGGGAACACCCCACAAGACGTGCTGTATTGGAGGTGCTCTGACCAAATCATCTAGCCCTTGTCAAAGTCACTCTTTTTCCGTGCTCATTTTTCCTGCATCCAAAACATGAAATTCAAGAACTGACTGTTGTCTTGCAACCTAATATATCCCACCCCTAGACATTTTAACAATATATTCAATTTTATTCACGTCACCTGTCAGTGATTTTAATATTGTGACTGATCAGTATATGTTAAAGTAAATACACTTTTTCAGTGCATATCCTGGATTTGCCTTTTTTTTTTCTCTAATCCAGGCGTATTCCAGAACAGTAATTGTGTTTATGCATCTTTTCAGCTCTTCCCAATGTACTAAATTTTAAAGAGCCTGGAGACATGACAGAAGGAAAGCCTGTCAATATCACCTGCTCAGCGAAGCACACTTGTATCGCGGATCCACCGAGACTTTGGTGGAACAAGCCTGGTCTATATAACAATACATATCATACCGAACTGAAAGATGGAGTTTGGAAAACTAAGATAGAGCAAATGTATATTCCATCGTATCAAGATCATGGGACATTCCTTCAATGCACAGTTGCACATCCTAATGGGCAAATAATGGAAAAAACTGCTTTACTCCAGATTGAATGTAGGTAATATGTGTGGAATGTCATCACTACTTTAAACAGTAAATTAGTAATAAGCATATTAAAGAAAATCTATATGACAAGAATAAAAATGTGGTCTTTGTGCTGCACTGTGTCACAGTATGTCCATTAATCTATTAATGTAGAGCTCCTAGACCTTGTATAAATAAAATATTATATTACTGAACTCAGCACTCAGAGGACGGAGTTACTGCTTGGAGGGTATCATTGTGTGCAGCTTTGGCCCTTAAAGGGACACTCCAACTTTTGGGAGTTTATAGACTACTTCCATAACAAGTAAAATACATAGCTTTACATTAAGGAACACTATAGTGTCAGAAATACAATGTATTCCTTACACTGCAGGTCTTAATAGGTATTTAGGTTACCTTGACTCTCCTTGTTCACTGTTAAAAAGGTGATCTTACTCACCTTTTTCTAGTGTCGCACTGGTTTCCTTGAAACTGCCTTTGCTCCTGCTCCATCCATTGGCTGAAATCAATAAACCTTTTGATCTCAGCCAATCCAAAGCTTTCCCATAGGAATGCGCTGGGAGGCTGCTGTGCCTAAATGGCAAAATACAGCTCTGTGCCAATCAGCATCTCCTCATAGAGATGCATTAAAACAATAAATCTCTATGAGAAACATTCAGCACCACACAAGGTGTGGAGACGCTGGACATCAGTGCTGCACGCTGTGCAGCACTGACCCAGGACGTACCTAACGCTAGTGGCTGTCTGAGTGACATTATAATTCTCTGTTTATTGTGTCTACATTGCTGAGGCAGCATGTACAGTATCTTTGCTCCAGAGCCATTGCATTAAGCTGTATAGAGTGTCACTTTCAATCAGCCCATTTCTATTTTTGTTATGTTGGTAATGTAGGTGGGGAGACACAATTACACACTCTAGCTGTATATTAGTTTCAGAAGAGGGGCTAAATTCATGGGACCAGGAGCAAAGGCTAATTGTTGCCTCGAATTAGTATTGTAAACAATCTCAACAAAGACATGTATGATGTAATAGCATTGAAGAGTGTCTGCCACACCACACAAACTGTTTTTGACTGCATTGTGTAACATTACTCATTCTAAAGAATAGAATTTGAAAATACATTAAAATTAAAGGCATACGTATGTGTATGTATATTTACATTACATGATCTGATTTACATTGCATGATCTGATTAGATGTCCATTGTCTGTTGTTACATAGTACCATGATGGGGTGCACTCACTTGACTTCTTATGCTGTTAAATGTTTTATTTAATTTGTTGCTTAAAGGACCACTATAGTGCCAGGAAAACATACTCGTTTTCCTGGCACTATAGGGTCTCTCAAGGTCCCCCCCTCCCCCCACCCTCAGGGCACCGCTCCCGCCGAGTTCTAGGGGATGTAAGGGGTTAAATCTTACCTGTTTTCCCCCGCCGGGCTCCCTCGGCACGGGAAACTCTCTTCCTCCTTTTCGCCGTCATCGGCTGAATGCGCATGCGCGGAAAGAGCCACGCTCGCATTCAGCCAGCCCATAGGAAAGCATTCTCAATGCTTTCCTATGGACGCTGGCGTCTTCTCACTGTGAAAATCAATGAGACAGCCACTAGAGGCTTGATTAACCCATTTGTAAACATAGCAGTTTCTCTGAAACTGCTATGTTTACAGCAGAAAGGGTTAATCCTAGATGGACCCGGCACCCAGACCCCTTCATTAAGCTGAAGTGGTCTGGGTGCCTATAGTGGTCCTTTAAACACAACATGCTCCATCCGATAATATATATACAAACTGAGTGCTATGTATGGAAGTGAGATCACAGTTTATTCCTATGTAAAAAGGTGAAGTTCTGGATGTGTGATTAAAACATTATTTGATCTCTAAATTATTTCATTAGATGCTGCCAAAGGAGTTACAATTATACCTGGGAAAAACAAGTTCAGTAAAGGAGATACTATGGAACTGATTTGTAATTTCTTGGCCTGTAATCCAGAACCAAGCCACTATACGTGGTATCTGAACAGTTCTGTTCTAATGAATGAGACAGAGAAAATCCTGATTATGCATGACATCACCTCAAAGTTATCTGGGAATTATATCTGCGCAGTACACAATGAAATTGGAATATCCTTGTCTAGTCATTCGGTTATCATCACTGATAATGATAATGTATCAAGTAAGTGTGATTTTACAGAATTCACAATTCGAAATACATTGAAAATTAGCAAATATCACATTTAGGCAACGGTCTACAGAGATTTTGTTTATATTTTTGTTATTTTATTCAGTTAGGTGAATGTATTATGAGTCAATATATAATGATGGAACTTTTTAAACTTTGAGATCATGTACCTTTTTCAAGTGAGCTAAAATTCTATCACTTAGAAATTAGTTTAGGAATATTTTTGCTAAATTAGAGGTTGACTACTAACTTTACAATAAAATAACTGATTTAGAGATGTTTTCCAAGCAATTTGCTGTGGTCTAAATTTGGCAACTTGTTTTTCACCACACCTTGGTCCATTTAATGTATTCTAAGTATTTAATCTATTTTACATTTGTATTTATACTGTTGTAAGTTATTTATTTTCCACTTAACCTATTTGTACATTTATTCTTCAGTTCCTGAGAACGACACTGCATCCTACACACTGAATCCTACAATAATTATTGTGCCTGGACTAATATGTCTGCTTCTTTTTCTACTGATTGGCTTCCTTTGTTGGAGGTAAAGTGTCTTATCCAGAGCATACAGTGGGCAGTCCAACCCAGGGGAGAGACGGGAGCTGGTGGAGTGGATGGGTTGGGTGAAACCTCACACCAGCACAGTCACTGGTTGTAGCATGTTGGAGTGGGTCATGGCAAGGGCTATGTACGTCCCTCTACCTACTTTCTCAATGAGGTTTAGATTGTGGTACTGCCACATACGTGGAGGGGAAGGGAACATAACACTATCATTTTTTTTCTTTTTAATTGAATATTACCTCTTCCACAGGTATAGAAAGTTTCAAAAGGTGTTATGCTGTATGGCCAATCAAGCAGAGGTTAGTAATAACTTTGAACATGTTACATAAAAAAATACAAAAGCATAATGATAGTTATAGGCGTGTGAGCGAGTGTGGTGTTAGTGTTCATCGATCACTAACCTCATTGGTCATTTACTGCAAGATAATCCAGCACGCTTTTTAACTTGGATCAGTTTCATCATTATTAAAATGTGTTCCTAACGTGTTTTTAATCATAAATTAATGGAAAGCTAATGTGATTTTTCTGCTAAAATTTTTAGGATGCCAAACCTTCTGATGCCACATATGCTGATCTTCAGAGGGAAAATATCTGCACAGAATATGATGAATTAAAGGTAACACCATAGCACTTATTATCCATGTATTAGAAATATGTAAACAGTAAAGATTTCAATGTCAATAATTTTAATACTAATCTATTTCAAAAGGTAAAAAGGACGTATTGAAATACGACAAATCTAGCAATATTCTTTCATTTTGGACGAACTGCATCTTATAAACTAAGCATGACCTTTTACATCATATCTTAACTATGAACATCTAATGCTTTTGATTATTTATTTGTTTTCTTTTGTAGCTACACAAAGAGAAGATTCATCACCGTATTCCCATTAAAGAAAATATTTATGAATTAGCACATTATGAAAATGTTTCAACATAGAATTAAAATGGTCTTGGTCAATCAAAGCGAACAAATATATTTAGTGAACATAAAAAAACAAAACAACAAGATTTGTTTTTGAATTGTTAATTATTTGGGGCACATATTATGATTATGTATTAGTGCTTGAGTTTTTAAAATTGCAGATATTAGCAATTTTTTTTTCTGTAATAGAAATAGCTGACATATTTGGTTTTGTTAGTTAGTTTTCAAGATTCTAATTGTTTTATTATTTTTTTTTAAATAATTTTTTTGACCATATTGGCAAGATAAATATAACCAACATACAAATACAAAAATATCAGCATTTGTAATTGGTAAATATATATGTAAAATACAAGTCAAGCTTAAAACAAACACATTTTAATAATATAACAATACAGTTTATTTGTCAAGTTACTACCACCATGGAATCAATACAATGTCCTGGGAATATAAGATTTTAAACTAAAGATGAGTTACATAGTTACATAGTTACATAGTTACATAGCTGAAAAGAGACTTGCGTCCATCAAGTTCAGCCTTCCTCACATTTGTTTTTGCTGTTGATCCAAAAGAAGGCAAAAAACCCAGCCTGAAGCACTTCCAATTTTGCAAAAAACTAGGAAAAAAATCCTTTGTGATCCTAAAATAGCAGTCAGATGTCTCCTTGGATCAAGCAGCTATTACCCCACTAATTAGAAATTATATCCCTGTATGTTTTGTTTTTACAAGTATTTATCCAATTGTAGTTTAAACATCTGTATAGACTCTGACAAAACCACCTCTTCAGGTCGAGAATTCCATATCCGTTTAGTTCTTACTGTAAAAAAAACTTGTCTTTGCCCCAGATGAAATCTCCTTTCTTCCAGCCTAGATGTGTGACCTTGTGTCCTATGTATAGCCCTGTTTATGAATAGATTTCTAGATTTTTTCTACATACACTGATACATGGCTTTCAATGTTTATTTCAACATCATTTATAAATATGTTAAATAAAAGCGGTCCCAAAACAGAACCCTGAGGGATACCACTTACCACTTTTGTCCAGCCTGAAAATTTACCATTAATGACAACTCATTGTACTTTATCCTTAAGCCAAATGTTCTACCCATCAACAAGAATATCCATCTATACCAATTTCTTTTAGTTTGAAGACTAACCTATTGTGAGAAACCGTATTAAATGCCTTGGCAAAATCCAAGTAGATCACATCCACTGCAACACCCTGATCTATACTTCTACTTACTTCTTCGTAGAATGCAATTAGGTTAGTTTGACATGACCTATGTATCATAAAACCATGCTGATTATTGCTTATATCAAAGTTCTTCCCAATGAATTCCTGAATATTATCCCTTAATAGCCCTTCAAATATTTTCCCAGTCACAGAAGTTAATCTCACAGGTCTAGTAATATGTTGAATTTCTACTTATATATACCTTTATCATTCATAACCTAGGGAATTCGGCAGAACATCACCGAACATACTATAGTAAGGATTTCTTTGTTCATGGCATATATTCATAGAAATCTCTTCTAACTAAAGTAGTCTTTACTAAAAGGCAGTTGTTCTAGACTGTAGAAAGAGTGCTTTTTGGGTGCATTTAAATGTGAGAATTCATTATTTATGCAAACCAGAGTAATAACAATGGGTAGCTCTGATGGTTTATTAAATGGGGACCTGTGCATCTACTATGTGGTGCATTTCTTGTGTGGTGAGACTACCTTGATGAGCTGGGGGAATGTGTATTCTTTATTAAAGAATTTGAAACAAAATACAATGTAATGTTGGCTTTAAATGAATCCATTGGTGTTGTTTATGTGGTTCTGCATAGATTAACAGAGCACTTTATCACTGTCACGACTTCGGTAACATAAGTCCACTTGTGGGACATGAGTAGCATAAGTCCACTGTCAGGACCTAGGTAGCACAAGTCTGCTATCAGGACCTGGGTAGCACAAGGCTAGTATGAGGACCTGGGTAGCACAAGTCCACTGTCAGGACCTAGGTAGCACAAGTCCAGTATCAGGACCTGGGTAGCACAAGTCCACTGTCAGGACCTGGGTAGCACAAGTCCACTCTCAGGATCTGTGGTTACATGTTTTCAGAGATGGAACAGAGTTACAAGAAGGTTCACATTCTTTGAAATCACCACTAACAAGCAAGACATGTAATGGGAGGTAACTGCTAGTTTCAGCAAAGTGCAGAATTCTCCATCTCTAAAATATAATAAAAGTCTTGAGATTCTGCAGCCATTGTCCAAAAAAAAAAAGAAAGTTGAGTGCATTGAGGCTAATATTGTTTGAGAGAGAATCATGATCAAGCCTGGTATGAAGGTTGGTTGGGAAGGGAACATTTCTAGGCCCGGCAAAGCAGAAGTTAGGTAAAAGGAGAAAAGATACAAATCCAGAAAATACTGGTTGTGGTTTTACAGTACTGCGCACACCTGTGTGTGAGCCTGGCTGCCATGACTGCAAGACATGTTTTGTGAGAGTGCCCGGCGGATGAGGGAAAAATTATGGCTCTTGGGTGACTACTGAAATGAAATATACCTCCAGTTGACATTAAAGCATCCCTGGTTTTTATGTCAGACCCAATATTCAGCGATACACGCTACCTTTTGATGTTTTGGTCTTGGAAAGTAACTTCATGTTTATTGTGGCCTGGTGTTCCCCGAGGAAAGGAGAGGGAGCCAACCTACTGCCTGGAGCAACCTGAGCCTAAGTAAGCACCAGCTGGTGCCGTGTCCCCCCTCTTTTGGACCTGTAGGAGTGAACCTGGTGCACACCCTAGAGGCCCCTCTGCACAGCTGAGGGCCCGCTGTGCTAACGTGCGGCCGACACTGAGTGGCAGCATGGCAATTGACTGCAGTTCAGAGGATACTCTGCCTCATTTATTCTTCTTTTTGTCACCATATTATTATTTTTGCAATATAAATAATGTTCCCATCTATACCTGTTGCTTAGCACTTTCATGTTCTGTATTTTCAGTTTTTCATTTTTATTTTCAGTGAATCCAATGTTTACTGTACATTTCATTCATGCATCCATTCTGCTGATTTGCTTAGCCACACCCACACGTTTTCATTTTCTAAAGTAAAAAATGTAATACGTAAAATGTATTCAAAAGAGCAATTGTCACATTGCTTTTTATTTCTTTATGCCTCAAAATCTGGTGGTTCACTGTTGACAAACCACCACTACAGTTCATGAAGGATTAACCACAGGCACAGAAAAACTGCAGGTCTTCTATCAATGAGTGATTTATCTGAGTGCTCAGTCTTCCTCATCTTTGACAAAAAAAATTGATAAAATTACAGGATGAAATAAAGACCTGCTCTGTTTAGGTTTATTTGACTGCAGAACATTGATGTTGATCCATTTCACATTTTGGGACAATGAAGCGCTCACACACTTAAATTACTCTATAAATACTATCTACAAACGTAGACACTCTGGGCTCCGTCTCATGAAGCATTTTGAGTTTTCTTGAGGGGACATTTTTTTCAACACTATATTAAACGTTTGTTGAGTTTGTTTCTGTTTGTTTTTTGTAAATTCTATGTGCAAAGTGTTATTGTAATTGTTATTGTAATTGTTTTGAACACATTTTGTCTGCTACTCCAGTAGAATTCCCTAAATTCTCAAGTCTCCAGAGAAGTAAAACCTACCTGTCAGAGCCTTTTGATTGGTTGACTTTCACATCAACCAAGTTGTTGAATGATTTGATTGCACAGTGTGAGAAAATAGTGAAAAGGACTATTCCTACTATTCAAGCTCAGTCTGTGCATAGCTCTTACTGGGGTACTGACCTGCTTCAAAGCAGAAACATTATTTAATGGAAACAAAAATTTTGGTTGAACAAAAAACAAGAATAATGAAGTTCCAGACAAGGAACCATCACATGTTGAGTAATAGCACTAATGTATTAAACATGTAATAAATATCATTGAATATGCTTGGGTATAATTAGAACAACATGCGTGGGCATTGATTTTTTAAAAACATTTTATAGAGGAATACTGAACTTCATAGATTGTAAAATATTGGCAAGCTGTCAAAGCATTATACTCCAAATGAGACTAAACTGCTAAAAAAAATATTACTAAATGATATATACATGTATAGAAGACACTATGAATAATGTAATTAATAAACAGTGGCTTCTGCGTAAGCCTTGGAGCAAGTACCTTGTTATCTCACATGCCAATGCAAAAATAAAGTATTTAAAATAAAATAAATAAAAACATTTTATAGAGGTTGTGAATAGAGTTGAGCGAACCCGAACTGAAAAGTTTGTGTTCGTACCGAACATTAAGTTTTTTGGACCCCGGACCCGAACACGGACATATCACTGTATGTTCGGGTTGGAGTTCGGTGTTTGGCGATTTAATGACGCATTTTGAAAGTCTGCAGGGCAACCAATCAACAAGTGTTTGACTCGTGTGCCCTTAGGAGCCATCACAGCCATGCCTACTAATGGCATGGCTGTGATTGGCCAGTGCAGCATGTGACCCAGCTAGTAGGGGCCTATCTATTAAACAGTGAGCAGCCTGTGGCTGCCTGTGGCTGCTCACTGTTGAAAAAATTTTTTCCCCCTCCTGAGCCCCCACCCATTACGTGCGAGTGGGGGCTTTTAAACTAAATTCCAAAGAACTTTCCCACGCTGTGTAAAATGACACAGAGCACTCTGATTGGTTAGCTTGAAATCCACCAATAAGAGTGCTCTGTGCCATTTTACACAGCGTGGGAAAATTCCAAAGAGCATTCCCACGCTGTGTAAAATGACACAGAGCACTGTGATTGGTGGATTAAGTAACCAATCAGAGTGTTATGAGTCAAACTACACAGCGTGGGAAAATTCCAAAGAACTTTCCCACGCTGTGTAAAATGACACAGTGCACTCTGATTGATGGATTTCAAGCCAACCAATCAGAGTGCTGTGACAGGTAAATGTAGAGACTTACCTGTCAGTCTCTTCATTTACCTGTCAGAGCACTCTGATTGGATCATATACATACATACAAATTAGGTGGAGAATCTTGGTTCGTTGTACAATGGCATATAAAATATGTTAAAGACTGTAAAGACAGAAATAACACAATCTAGTGCAATATCGTAAAGTGCAATAGTGGCTTTGAATATAGTTTGTAGTGGGTACTTACAAACCAAGAGCCAAACGAAACTGGCTCAATTTGGACGCCTGTGGGATAGTTGTTAGGGTTCCCACTCCCTCTCTTTGTAGCAGCTTGTTCTGTATCCCTTATATTAAATAAGAAGAAGGGACCATGTCCACAGATCCAAATTCTTCTTTAATGAAAAATACATAAAAAGCACAATCCCACTTAGGGTAAAAGGTGCAGAAAGATGTATAAAAAATAAATAAAAACAATTTAAAAGTCTCTTTATATAAGATAGTCCACTAAGGGACAAAAAGTCCACTCTGGGAAAGTTCAGCAAAACGCGTTTCGCCCAATATATGGGCTTCCTCAGTTGCTCCTAATGTTGCTCTATCACCTCTCATCCTTTTATACCCCTTTTAATGGGCAAATGCTGGACATCTGGTCGATCTTCCTTACTTCCGGGTTTCGTCGTCACTTCCGGTTCCGGTTTTCGTTCCGTCAGTGGAACGCATATGCGTTCCACCTAGTAGTGACGTACTTCCGGTTTTGCCGAACACTCGCTCAATGCGATGTTATTTGCCTTTACAAAGTTCTTTAGAATAGTTGCATTTGTCAGTCTTGATCAAAAGGCTCTTCCAAGGGGTAAAGTTATATTTTGGATGTCTTCTTAATACATCAATTATCAGGGTCAGGTGTGGATTAAAGGAGGAATTAAAATAGCAAAAATAAATGTATCATAAACAGTATGTAATGGGTACATGTATGTTAAATATACTGTAAGAAAAAAGAGAAATATAATTTTTATAAAATACAGAAGCATATATATAAATCCATAGAAAAAGTGCATATGCAGAATAAAAAATATGACAGTGTGTTAGGAACCAGTGAAAATTCCCTAATACAATGTGCAAAAGAATATTGATCTGTTGACACAAATATCAATAAAAGTGAATAAAAGTGAACAAGAGAATCTTTATAAGGAGGGAGTTATTACTTAAGGAAATGGCAAATCTCGAAGTCTGAGTTTAAGCCATTAGGTATTAGAGTGTTAAAATTAAAAATAAACCTCATCTCTTCCTTTCCTAGTTTATTTCCGTAATCGCCTCCTCTCCAATTTTTTGTTACCAATTTTATTGCACAAAATTGCAGGACTGTAGGATCTTGATTGTGTATAGTTTTAAAGTGCTGAGAGACAGAATGCGTCTCTAAACCTTTTTTGATGTTGCGTATATGTTCTGCAATACTTATGTGTAGTGGACGTATTGTTCTCCCTATATAAAGGAGATTACATGAGCATTTCAGGGCATAGATTATTCCTTTGGAATGACATGTGAGGTGGTCTCTTATTTTGTACTGTTGTCCCAAAAAAGTACTTAGGTCCAAAAGATGTCTCTTTTTATTTTTAGTGGTTCTGCATGGTAAGCATTCCCCACAGCCATAAAATCCTACAAGATTGTTTAAAAAATGGTCTGGTTTGATAGGGTCTAGACTACTCCTTACCAAAATATTTTTTAAATTTCTATTTCCTCTATATATAATCTTTGGTTTTGATGGTAAGATGTTCTTTAAAATAGGGTCATCCCTTAAAATGTGCCAATGTTTGTTTATTGTTTTTTGAATGTGTTTAATGTTTCTATTATATTGACAAATAAAAGGGATGTCCATACTATTTTTAAGGGTATTTCTAGATTTATATTTTAAAAGTTCTTTCCTTTCTATAGATTTGACGTCTTCTAGATCCTTTTTTAGACCTGTTGCTTCATAGCCTTTTTCTAGAAATTGATCCATTAGATATTTCACTTGGTCCGTATATACTTGTGTGTCTGTACAATTTCTTCTTAGTCTTTTAAACTGGCCTTTTGGTGCGTTTGTGAGCCAGGGGATATGGTGGCAGCTGGTTCTGTCAATGTAGCTGTTGGTGTCTACTGGTTTAAAATAATTTTTGGTGTGAATTTTCTGATCTTTGATGTATATATTTAAATCTAGAAAATTAATTTCCACCTGGCTTATGTTGCTCGTAAGTTTAATGCCCCAATCATTATTGTTTAAAAACTGTAAAAAATCGGTCAGACTTTGATTGTCTCCTGTCCAAATAAAAAATATGTTGTCTATATACCTTCGGTAGGATACCAAGTTTGCCACCCAGCCATGTCCATTTGAGATAAAAATCTCTTCCCAATATGCCATAAACAGGTTTGCATAGCTGGGGGCAAACTTGGTCCCCATAGCTGTTCCGCAGATCTGTAAAAAGAACTGGTCTTGAAACCAAAAAAAGTTGTTGGTTAAAATCAGAAAAATTCCTTCTAGAATAAAATCGGTTTGTTCTTTCTTAAAAGATGATTTCTCTAAAAAATGTTTCGTTGCTTCTAATCCTTTATTATGGGGGATAATACTATATAATGAACTGACGTCACATGTAACTAGTATGTATCCTTCTTGCCATTTCGTTTCTTCTAATATTTGTAGCATATGTATTGTGTCTTTTAGGTAGTATGGATTTTGTACAACAAGAGGTTGCAAAAGAATATCTATATATTCTGATATCCGAGTGGATATAGAATCGATGCCTGATATTATGGGCCTACCTGGCGGATTTTGTTGGTCTTTATGTACTTTGGGTAGGTGGTAGAAAACTGGAGTTTGGGGATGATTTACTGACAGATACTTAGCTTCTTTTTCATTTATGATCTC